ATTATAGTTTTATGGATCTGAGAACACTATTCCATAGATATGGAATTCATAACTCCGAAAGGTTTTAGGGATACTGCCTAGTGGGTTTTACTAGGTTATGAATGATGAGACTTGACCAAGCGTTTAGTGAAGTGTTCATTAAACATTTATCATCTAGTGGGAGTAAAACTGGTTTCAAGGAAAAGATGTAACTGGAAGGATATATCGTTATAGCAACCTAGTTCTAGTTATCGATGTCCTATAAGGGTATATATGTAGTTGTCGCTAAATGGAAAGGCTTTAAGGAAATAATTTAATCAGATTAAATTATTAAAGTTTATGATTAACAAAGTGTTTGATTTAGGAGTCCAGTATTGTCCCTATAGTGGAGTCAAACAACATTAACACATTTGGTACCTTGCATTTATGATATAAAGGGGTAAGGAACTGAATACGTTGAAGCATGTTATTAAACATTTCCATATGGGTCCCCTAAGTAGCTGATAAAAGTTATCCTGGACAAAAATGTTTGTGTAGATATTCTGATTTAATTTGAACTATTTAAAATAGTTTGGGAAATTAAATTAGACAAATTATATGAGGCATTTGAAGAAGAGCATCAAATGTATTAAATGGTTTGATACATTTGTAGAGAAAATACTTACATGATTGTCATGTGAAGTCTCAGATAATGGTGAAATTTGGCGAGAGCGATCTTGACCTTGAGATCACTTGTAACGAGCTAGGACCGCGGCTGATGTAATCAGTGGAGAAGTACTTACATGAATGTCATGTAAAGTTATGGACATAAAGGTTATAGTCCATAGGTGGAATTGGGCAAAAGCGATCTCGTCCATGAGTTCGCTTATAGTAAGCTTGAATCGAGCATGAGCTGTCCTATGCTCAGTATAAAATGCGAGCTCAAGTAAAAGAATAAAGCGCAAAACTATAGCAGCCAAGCCAAGCTTATGTAAGTAGTTACTTGGCTTGGCTCAGCATATTTCCCCACGAAATTCCACTAGCTATATAAAGAGGCAAAGTCACTATTACATGCAATCTAGATAATCGAATTTTCAAGATGAAGTTGTTAATCCCAAAAATTCTATCAAAAAGTCAGCTGAACATTCTTTTTCGAGATTTTGTGTTCTGAAAGTTGTTTCAAATCAAAGAAGAAATCACACATACGAGTTTCGAAAGGAGTTTCGAAAGTTTTTCTGCGCCCACTCGTTACGTCCAAGAGGCTTCGGTCATACCTTAGGAAGGTCCATTAGAGCCAAAACTTCACTGGGAAGGTAACAATCATTCTAAAAACTCGTTTTAGTAGATCCTAAGGTTTGGGATTAAGTTTGTCGGAGTTTGCATGTTGGATTTTTTCGGACGACTCCTTGTTTTTGGATCTCAAACCCAATAGATGATGCATTGTAATATTAATTTATTTATTTTTTCTGCTTTAATTTTTGTTTGTGTGTTTTTATTTTAGATTTTTAAGACGCTGCGGCATTCAAAAGTCTCCACTACAACATTGAGCTCCTCAGGTTTTTGAATTTGTTCAGGGAATGTTGTATTATTTGGAATGTTATATTAATGGAAAGATAGATTACTGGGAATGTATAGGGAAGTGTATCTGGTTAGATTAAAATAAATTGGTGGGTATGTTATATTAATATGTTTGGTTGGGAGGTAAATGGGTGGGTATGTTATATAGATTACTAAATTACCCTCCTTTTAAAATATTAATATAATATTTTTATTATTATTATTTTTTGAATCATTTTAAACCCTTACATTTGAAATTTCGCTAAAACACCCCAGCCATATAAAACTTTAATTTATATCAAAATTACCCCCACCCACCCTAATCCACTACCGACAGCTAGCCACCACCATCGACAATCGCCGAAATGGCGCACAACTGGCCGGTCGTGTGCAGATAAGGTTGTTTCAAATGGCCAAATCTGGTCATGAAAAGGTCAGATTTTTGGCTATGATCAGTTGTTTCCAACCAAATTGAAGGCCAAAAACAGCCAAATCATCGTGGATCTAGTTGGAAACAGCCAGATCCCGCCAGTCGTGTGCTGATATAGCCACTGTCGCCGGCGGCCAGCGGTGGTCTTGGGTGGCTAAGGGTATTTTGTTAACTTTTAAACTTTTTGTGGCTATGATGTTTTAGCTAAATTCTCAAATGTAGGGGTTCCGGGCTAATGGTTATTTGGTAGACATTTGAGGGCAATTGTGTCCAAAAGGGTATTTAATTAAGGGCAAAATATGTATAAAAATCAAATTACCTTGGTAATCTTTTAATAACATCATCTGGCAAGTTAATTTGATTACCCACTATATTACCAACAGTAAACACTATTTACAACAAAAGATTACTATAATATTTTATTACTTACAAACCAAACAAGGGAATTTTGAAAATTAAATGAAGATTACCATAGTAATCTTATATGACCCCGAACCAAATGCACCCTTAGTGGTAAGAGATATGTTAAAGGGTGAAAGTGAGGGATTACTAAATATAAGGGCTAAATTGATATTTAAGTGGTAAGCTTTTTATTTAAATTTCAAAGTATTTTCGAACTTTTTTTTTTTTTCTCTCTTTCTTGTTTTATATATAAAGTTTTAACTGAAGGCCTTCATTGGCAATCAAGAAGACTTAAAGACACAAACAAATAGATAAAGATCATGAATTATAGCTTCCATATAATTTTGCCACATGTAATACTATTAATGAACCTAGTTAATAAATGTTTAATGACTAAGGGGTGTTTGTCTAAGCTTATAAGTTGGTCAAACTAGCTTATAAGCTCTAAAATTAAATTGACATGTTTGTTTATAACTTTTTTGGCTTATAAGTTATTTTTGAGCTTATAAGTTGAACTTATAAGCAAAAAAAAATAAGTTGAGGGGGAGGTATTTTTTTTTTTTTTTTTTGCTTATAAGCACTCTGCTATAAGTTAGTTTGACCAAGTATATTACCACATTATCCTTATTTAATTTTAAAATTTTATAGTATACTCTTATTTAATGTAGTACCTTTTTTAGTCATTTATAATAAATATACTATAAGCACATTTTACCAAGCACGTCAACTACTTATCAGTCACTTATAAGTACTTTAACCAAACACGTAGTTGCTTAAAATTTCAAATGCTTATAAACTAATTTTAGCTTATAAGCACTTGTTACTTATAAGCTAATTTTCATAAGCTCAGACAAACACTCCCTAAGTATGTGAGATAGAAAGCCACATAATTATCCCATGTGCATAATAACTACGACAGGGTAAGGATTGATTGTTTTGACACTAAATATTGACACGAAGAAAAATATAATAAATAAATGTATTTAATATGTATTACATCATTTTGTTTTTCCAAAATTTAGTGATATCAATATCATGTTATTGAAACGTTAAATTTATCCAACATATTAATTTTTTTTTTTTCCTCTACTCCAATATTTTTAAGCAACGGCCTAGCTGATATGATTTCAATCCAGATGTTTAATCTCAAACTTCTTTTTGTTTTCTGTTTAAATCGAATTAATTATTCATTTAACCGACTCAGAGTCCGAGTGAATCAGAAAGCACAAACATTTTAGGCACCAATTTAATTTGTGATCATGTGTAATTCATTATATATTAGCAGTTGGGGCACTTACACAACGATTTGAGCCAGCCAAGATTATGTGCCTGTGCATAATAGTTATGAGTCTAAACCCAGTTTGGTAAAACATTGAAGACACTGCTGGTTCAGAGTAGCAGTTGGTCCGAATGGGAATTACACATTATGAGGAAACTTGGAATATATAAATCTTCATAATCACACCTTTACAATAAATCTACCTTAAGTTAAATTTTTTTTTAATAATCAGATTGTCCGAGTCAATTTATATATACCTTAACTAATTTTTAATGTCTATTGAACACTTTACAAGCTTCCTACTTTTGAAAGTTTTATTAAATTAATATTAAGCTTTGAGTCAAATTATATTATAGAATATGTTTACTTATTAGTGAATTATACGATTAATATTGATTCTTCTTTCCTTTCTCCTTAATTTTGGTAAAAATTTAATCATATAAAATACATATAAGAAAAAGACCAAATATTGGTTTTGAATTTTGACATATTCTTTAAGTTTTAATTTGGAACAGAAGAAATTAAAATGTTTTATTCAAAGATAAAGAAAGACGTCATGAAAAACTATTGTTGAATGTGAATGAAAGCAGGATGGTTAGGTCAACATGCAACAGAGAGTACTTGTTGATTTCAAAGTACACTTTGGGTCGTCAACCTAATATTTTGGTTTATAATACGAAATCCAAGTTTTATACAACTGCCTCTTTCTCAAAATATTTTATCAAAGTAGCGAGATGCAAAGAAGGTTCATCTTACAGTTGTCATCAACAAAAGGAAACTAAGGCTTTGACGGATTCGACTTCAGTGCCTTACTCAAAACTACAGTTCTTCTCGAGCTCGCCATACCTTAGAAGACTATTTCCAAATGCAGAAAGCAATTCAACTAACAATGTTGCAAATCGCCATGAGACTTCAAGTTTGGCGGAGCTAGCGTTGATTCCTTGAGTACCGATCAAATAAATGTAGCTCACTTTTCATCTTTCAATAATACTTACATACAATGAGTAAGATATATACTGTATCATTTATATCTTTATAATTGTCTCAGAAGTTTGGCATTAACAAAAAGTTGCAGAGCCTCCGTTTGGCACAAATAGATTTAGCTATATGTGGTAAGGTCGGGCCGTATATATTTATTAGTCCTCTGGAGCTTTCACTTTGGGCCTCATAGCTAGTGCACAAAGTCCAAGTTGTCTTGTCCTTAAAAATGTATAGATAATTACCATTAAAACTAGGTAGATATATGGGTATTTCTAGTAATTATGTAACCTGAAAACAGCTAAGCAATGACGAAACAAGCGATCCTTGACATGAACTGTCATGTTTGAGAGTGGGGATCATATAATAATTTTACAAAATTAACAAACATCCATATGAAAAGAAAACATGCCCCTCTCATTAAATAATTTGAATTGATTGTTTGTATGTACCAGAAGCATAAAAATGCTCTCTCTCGTTGTTTACAGTCATTTACAATTAAGATGGACTAGGCAGACAACCAGAGGAGGGTATGGCTACTCTTTCAAGATTTAATCTCAGCTTATTTGTATACAACTTTTTAACATTAGGTCCCTGTTCATTCATCAACTTCACAAGACTTCTCTTAGCGTTTGCTCTGAATGGACAGTTTGATGCCAAGAACCCATCCACCAAGTGTAGATAAGCCTCAAGATCGTGGCAACATGCAACATCCGCATTCGGCTTTAGATATGGAGACATCTTCGTATCCACTCGTAACTCTGTTCCCACATGTGAATATGCCAATGGGTTGTTGTTGTCCAGCACATTCAGCACTTTCGTAACAGTTGTATTTGTCTCCTTTTTGTTTGTCCCTTCGCCTATGAATATGCCTGGAACTCTAGTTATCACATCTTGATTGTTTACAATTCTTAACACCTTAACATTGTTTTTATTTACACGATTAGCGAAGCCCCGATTACCAACACGAGGCCCGCCGAAAGAGAATACTGCAACCGGTGGAATGTCGGATGCGCATGTACTTAGCTCGTCCGCTACTAACAAGGCCAAGGCAGCGCCAAGGCTGTGGCCTGTCACTGTAATGCTAAGGGTCTCACCCTTGTATAATTCCATCAGTCTTTTCACTTCTTCCGCCACTGACTCGGCCATACTAGGCACGTGAGCTCCACGTGTCTTGTACAAACTCAAGAATCCACATTCAACTTTGGAATCTCCCTGGACCGAGTCATCGGATCCCGGCATCTGTACAAGTTGAGCTCTTAAATTCTCAGCCCATTCAAGACACGTGGAAGTCCCACGTAAGGCGATGACTATGTCTCTCCTTCCCATCCGTTGGATCTCTCTCTTGTCGTCACAAACCGCCACATAGCCTATCCAACTTGACCGTTGGGTCATCCACCCGAGATCCGGTGCAACATCATCGACCCACTTGGGTAATCCGACCGATGATGTTGCGTAAAGACTCTTGGTCACCTTGTACGACCTATCGGGCAAGGCCACGTATCTGGGTGCTGGAGCTTCTTCTGTAGACATGGCGGGGTTCGAATGAAAAGAATGATAAGCTGCTTGCACTAATTCTCCATATCGCACAACCTCTCGCCTCAGGTTCTCATCAAGTGGATCAAGTAAACCGGCCCAATCTTTACTCCCGTGATATTCCCGCCACCGTGAACCAAGATTGTTCCTTGGAGAATATTCTTCTGTTTTCGATAGTAAGCGTTGGAGCCTGTTCATGTGTCGCGGTGACATTTCTTCACCTGCTTTCATTTCAGGCCAAAGTCTAGCCAAGTTGAGACTTTCTAAAAGAATTCTCCCCTTATTTTCCGTTGAACCATTGTTGGAGTTTGTATGAAGTAGTGGCCGTGTGTCAAGCTGGATTGGTTCTGGGATTTGTTTTTGAAGGAGTTTTTCAAGGTTGGATAAGTGTAGCGGCGTCAAATCGTTTGGAGTATTATTTGGTTTTAGAAATTGAGTTGATGCTGTAGTACTGCTAGGTTTTGTTAATGGGTTCAATGGCGATGCTTGGCATCTGAAGCTCGCACGTACTGCAGGGTTAATCTGCAGAGACTGCATGGAAAAAACAATGAGAAAGAGATGAGATTGGGCTTCACCGAAGACAGTCAATGAGATATTGTGAATATGAGACAATTTGTTAAGAAAGTGAGATTGAATATATCATAGCACCTATATATAGTTGTAAATTATCCCTCGATGTCCTCGGGGTTCCATGTAATTTACGACAACAACCATATTCTTTATAATTATTGACGGGGTTATGAGTGGTACAAGTTAAAACACATTATTGCGACCAGTATCTCTGTCTCGGCGCGTTCGCGTACGAAAAGTCTGCAAGCAGCGTGAAGTTCCTTCTCGCTTTTGAAGTTGAAATTGACTGGAATGCCCCTCTTACTTCATCTTATTGTTACTGAGTCACTCTTAAGGATTGGTTGACAAGAAATATCCTTGGTCTTTAATTAATTAAAAATTAACTTTCAACAAGAAATATGGCCAATGGGATTACGGTACGACCCGAGGTACGGGCATGGTGTGAATTTTTTATTTTTTTTATTTACGACCTAACTCAAATATTGACATTAATTTTTCAAATTCGGATTTTCCAAAATCCAGTTCAGGAAATTAGATTGTATACGGATATATATGCTTTAAAGATGTTTCCAGTATTTCTTTCATAAAAGTAGAGCGATTTCGTGTATAGATAGATGCCCCAAATCTGAAAAAGGAGCTGAGGAATACCTTTTTTTAAGCAAAAGATGAATTCTAAATTCAAACATCATATAGTAAGAAGTAACAATATTCATATTTATTTGACAGAGATCATGAATTATGGTTTATGGTTATCATATATACATATAATTACAATACGAAAATTAGAGTAATCGATTGCAAATTGGCTGGTTAATTAATTTTAGTTTCAACAAAAATAGATTGGTTTTCCTAATTTCATTAATAATTATTGAAAATTATATATCGTACACTCAAGAAATATGATAAATGAATATTGATTTGAATCAAATGTTTGAAATAAAAGACACTAATTTTTTCAAACAACTTGATTTTATTTCCAACATATTTGCAGTCTAAATTTTGATTAGTAGTAGCAGATAGCTTCAAATGTTATAGGTGGACGACCTCTTTTTCTGTCAAAATTAACTCAATAAATTATCTAGATCACTGTTAAGGTGGATATAGTAAGAGAGATTCAAACTCAACGACAACAAAACCAATTTGGAATGAGTATTATTCAAGTCAAACAATTAATTCTCTGTTTGTCTCTAGTTTTTCGAAGAGATTGTCTGACTAGGATATTTACAAGTATTTGCTTAATTAAACCTATTAGCGCGATGTCTATACATGCTTATACATTAATACATATATTCCCTTCTGCTTTCAGGACCACCAACTGCTTTTAATGTGTGGCCTGTTCTCTAGACTGCTGCAAATACTGAATATTTTCAGAACCCTAAACTAGAACAATACATTCATGGCTTATATATCTGATTTATTTTTAAAGGTTCTGATATTTTTACTTCATTTAATTTTTATTCATTCATTTATCTTATCAATTATGAAATGATTTGGAGAGTTAATTGATCAACTCTCAACACTACTTCAAGGATTTAATGAAAAACTTCAACAGTATAATCATGCTGGTATCGTATTGTGTATACATACATATTTTATATTTATGATATTAAATTTTCTTTGGTCAAAGGAACAAATTTATTTATCCACATTACATAAAATACATGCCCTTGAATATCCTTATCTAACGTTACACGTTTTTGAATCTCTAAATTTTCTCATTTAAAGTTAACAAATATTTCATCGATCCATATTTTTATGAAGATCATGTACCAAAACTTTGTTGCATGCTACTATTTTACAATAACTTGTTTAAATATACAAACTCTCCCTTCTCAACTAATTGTGATTTCATGTATATTATGATCATATGAGTCATATGTCAGAGCCTCTACCACCCCACAAGTTTTGCCAATAACATAAAACTAGCCTTCAATAAAAAGATGGATGCTCGAGCACTAAAAGAATGTCTCTATTACAAAATGCGATGTAATGCCAGAGCACTATATAACTCTCTGGAGCTGAAAAATAATTCGAAAAATGGATCAGTATCCACTACTACATCAGTAGTGGACAAGTTAGAATGTCACGATCCTCCTCCACTCCACTGCCATATATAATTTTTTTTCATCAATGGAGATCACATTCACATAAGAATATACTAAAAACTACACAATCAAGATTCTTTTTTTCTGCTTGCTTATCACATGTTACTCAAGCAGTCTCGGAGTTTATTTACTCTTTTGCATAGAAAAAACTAACTGGGAGCTTAATGAGTTGCATGCTGTGTGCGGTTTGTGCGCGCACCTTGCAGTGCTCTTGATAAGTGTCTAATTTCTTATCAAAGACAACGTGTAAAACGACATTCATTTAACATAAAGGGATCAATTATTGGAGTTGGTGGACATGTTAATTGTATAAAGAACTAAAAGAAGCTAACTAACGTCCGGACAGTCCTTATTATTTGATTTTCATTCGCTTTGACTATATATATATATAGAACCTCTTTATAATCATAATATTATGATCACTATGAAGAGGTTATAATTTAATAGAGATGTAGTTACAATAATTATTTTTCTTATTTAAAAAAATTTCTTATTTTATAATTAATGTTTTAGTAGTATTAGGATTTCAATTCATTATTTTAGTAGTATTAAGATAGTACGAAAATGGATATCAAATAGTTATTGCAGAATTGAGTGATCAGATTCGACAACTTTACTATACTAATCAAATGGATATTAATATGTTCCTCAATCATCCAAATGAGTAACAAGTCATGTATGTTTTAACTCAAGAAAAAAACATTACTAGAATTAGACAAGAAGAGGAATGAGATAATCCTGAGGATGATAGTATGAAAATACCAAAAGTTTCGTGTCAAGAAGCTCCAAACATACTTGAGAAGCTAGAAATATTTTGGCTTTAATAAAAAGGTGTTCATGCTGGCGACTTACTATGAACCCACAAGATAAAAGATGTGATAACAACTCTATAGTATAAATCATTGTCAAACAATTTTAGATAAATATTTTATTTCATCTTAAACCTTGAATGCAACATAACATATATTTTTTGTAATATAAATATAATTGTTACTATGTAGAGGCAAGTTTCTTAAGACGGTACCTAAAAAAATTATGACTTATTACAATATAAAGAGGTTTATATATATATGCAAGCGAAAAATGTGTCAAAATGCTACGTTTATAATAGATCTCGGTGTTTGGTTTCTTTTCCCTTTATCCATTAATAACCGCAATAATAATTATCACTCATATATAATAATCAAGAGAACTAATCACATTTATGTATATAGGTATAAGCGTGCTTAATTAATGCTTAAGTAGACAATGTGGAGAATAAGTATGGCGCTAAATCTAGTGCTTTTAACTTTTAACTTATTTATTGCTAAATATAAAGATGGTGGATATAGCATTCATTGATCTGAAAAGTGATCATTAATTGAAAATTTGGAAAAATAGTGGAAAGGAACTATTGAAAGTTTTATATACCCACATGTGAACACTTCTTTATTGTGTCCTCAACAAACTCATATATATATATATCTCCTTTTATGCTTCTGTGTTTAAGAAATATGTTTATTTTAATCAATATTTNGTGTAGTTACAATAATTATTTTTTTATTCAAAAAAATTTCTTATTTTATAATTAATGTTTTCGTAGTATTAGGATTTCCATTTATATTTTAGTAGTATTATGATTTTTATTTATGTTTTAGTAGTATTAGGATTTTAATTCATTGTTTTAGTATCATTGAGATAATACGAAAATGGATATCAAATAGTTATTGCAGAATTGAGTGATCAGATTCGACAACTTCACTCTATTAATCAAATGGATATTAATATGTTCTTCAATCATCCAAATGAGTAACAAGTTATACATGTTTTAACTGAAAAAAAAAAAATTAATAGAATTAGACAAGAAGAGGAAGGAGATAATCCTAAGGATGATAGTATGAAAATACCAAAAGTTTCGTGTCAAGAAGCTCCAAACATACTTGAGAAGTTAAAAATATTTTGGCTTTAATAAGAAGGTGTTCATGCTAGCGACTTATTATGAACCCACAAGATAAAAGATGTGGTAACAACTTTATAGTATAAATCATTGTTAAACAATTTTAGATAAATATTTTATTTCATCTTAAACCTTGAATGTAATATAACATATATTTTTTGTAATATATATATTATTACTAGGTAGAAGCAAGTTTCTTAAAACGTATCTAGAAAAATTATGATTTATTATAATATAAAATATATTTTTATTTATAACTGGTCCAAGTTGGGATCAAAATTTTTTATAACTATATAGAGATTATTTTTATATAAAGTATCACTATAAAGAGGTTATATATATAAGAAAAAAAAACGTGTCAAAATGCTATGTTTATAAGAGATCTCGGTGTTTGGTTTCTTTTCCCTTTATCCATTAATAGCCGCAATAATAATTATCACTCATATATAATAATCAAGAGAACTAATCACATTTATGTATATAGGTATAAGCGTGCTTAATTAATGCTTAAGTAGACAATATGGAGAATAAGTATGGCGCTAAATCTAGTGCTTTTAACTTTTAACTTATTTATTGCTATATATAAAGATGGTGGATATAGCATTCATTGATCTGAAAAGTGATCATCAATTGAAAATTTGGAAAAATAGTGGAAAGGAACTATTGAAAGTTTTATATACCCACATGTGAACACTTCTTTATTGTCTCCTCAACAAACTCAAAGTTATATATATATCTCCTTTTATGCTTCTGTGTTTAAGAAATATGTTTATTTTAATCAATATTTTGACATAAATAAATTGTAAAATTAAAACTCTATGCATCTGATCAATAGTTCATGTTTATGTAAAAAAAAAAAAAAATAGATTTTACGATACAAGCTTTTGGTTACTTGAAGATGGTTCATAAAATTTTATTTTTTCTATCAAGTAAATTGGTTAATTGTAAAAATTTACGAAAATATATATATATTTCTGTATTACACGGTATATTTTAACAAATTATTTTTCAATTCCTCTAGTTAGAAATG